GTGACCCACCCTGTATAAGAGAAGCTGATTACATTCTTTCACAACGTTTATAGGAACGCTTGGAACATCGATCTAAAGGGCACATCGATCACGAACTTACCGGACGATCTAACATTACACAGAGTCCGGCAAAAGGATCTGACACTTTTATTAGGTAAAAGCTTCTGTACCAAGAGTAAACATATTCTAGCAAGGATTTTGTTACAGCTGATTCTATGATAATCTTCTGTAGCACAGATTCACTTAACTAAATCTATTAGGTTTAATGAAAAATATATAAAGCATACATAGGTCTTGAACAGATCAGATCCTGTACCTACAACTCGAACCCTAACTTCGAAGCTATCAAACATGATCAGCTGGCCAATTAAAATTTGATTGGCTGGTCAATGATCCGGAACGTGAGCACGGGTACTTTAAAAAGAGTAATCTTGACGTGTATTATCGTCAGATAGACGAGTCTAAGCTACAAATTCCGCAGAATGAGATTCTAGAAATCGTCACTGATAAACCTAACCGCTACTTGCCGCTACCGCCACTGATATCAGAATTCATAGAAAATCTAGTATCCTGTGAGGTTGAGAACCACCACAATCAATTGTCCATTCGACGAAAATAAAATTCCATTCAGGATTAAGATACCTATTCCACTACTTCGTAGCACGTGGCATATACACTACCGGCCAGATGTTTGGAATCACTGTGCATTACAAGTTATACAAAAATTTCCAGAATAAAGTTAGTAATTTTAAGAATATTTTAACAAAGTTTTTCCTCGTTCAAATCAATCGAAATAAGGTAAAATACTGTCGATCTCCGCAACATCAATTTCAGATCTATAAAAAATTAGCAGCGGATTCAATTTTACCGTAAATTAGCAGGTGATTCGAAACTTTTGCCCGGTAGTGTATGTATAACGATGGTAACTTAGGTAACTGCTAATTACCAACGTAAATAATCATCTCTAATCCTGAGATTTAATAAAGTCCATCTTTCGTGCTCCTGATAGGGGTTTTTTGAAAATTTTGCCTACCACTACTTTTCTTATACAATTATCCAATTGGTAACACCATCTTTTACATCGTGATGGCCAGTAAGTGGGTTTAGGTTCGCAGGAATGGTTCCCTAATTAATGTACAATTTGAAAAGAAGGTCTTCGAACCTCTGATGAAGCTAGAAACGTTAAGAAATTTATCACTCTCGTCCATGAAATCATCACCTTACCGTTTTACAGTAAATCAAGCTTAGAGGAAAGATTTGGTTACTTATTTCGATATGAACCGTTCTACTGATAATTATACTCTTATCGATATGGCTGGTATTTTATTATAATTAAAACAAGAAAATCTGAAATATTTATAACGAGGTTCCACGCCAGAAATTGTGGGATGAGGTAGACAGAAGTATTCAGAAACATTGTCCAACGTGACGAAAAGATCTGTGGACACATTTGCAGCGGTCCTGGAGAGAAATCCAGGAAGAAACTTTAAAGAAACTTAAAAAAAGTTACTATAACGAGGAGCGTACATTGACCAGAAAATTGAAAACTTTGTACCTACATTGTTCAATATATTTTAACGTTAAAAAACTCGGTGCAAGTACAGTAAATTCTCCACAAGTGTCAGTCCGCAAGGAACCTAAACCTGACACTTGTAGAGTCAGGGACTACGTTTGCCGTTTCGGCAGTTTGCCGAACGCAGACAAGGACAGCGAATAAAAGATAAGGATGAAACGTGAGTCGAGGCAACCAAGCGGTTTAAATACCAACTCTTTTAATTTTACGTTTTTTTATCCCAAAATTTGTCTGGCGTGACAGTGAACGTGTTAATAAGTAAATGTTGTTCAAATTATATCGTGTTTGATCTCATTTTCATCAGAAAAATCTCAGCAACATGTTAAAAAAAATTTTAGATGAAAAAGAGTAAAATTAAAGAAATTATATTTTTCTATTATGAATTGTCGAGCCGTGAAATCTCGTAAAAGAAACCGAGTGGTGTAGCGTTACACGCTTGACTGGCAGCGAGCGAGGTAACATGGGCGCAGCAATGACGCAGCCTAGGCATAGGACCATCTATACTGACACTTGTAGAATCCAAACTGACACTTGTAGAGAATTTACTGTAATCTGTAAAATAATCGTTTGATTTAATACCGCGGGTGTTTAACGTAAAGTTCAAATTAACAGGTGTCCCAAAAGCTTCAAACAGTATAAACTGCAACATACCGCACCGTGAAAGCCTCAAAATTCTCGTATCAAACATAAATTATGCATTACACAATCCACTCAGAAGCTAGAACGATTAACTCGACTTTTCGAAATTCTTCCAAATTTAGCATCAAATCACATGTTTGGCGCTTAACTCTTCGTAAATAGAAAAAAATTTAACAAATCTAATTTAACGGAGTTAGGTCACTTCATCTTCTGAGTGTCTCATACGTAAACATTCCTCATCCGCTGACAATCTGAGCGGCTACCTCAGACACGTGTAACCACCGACGAAAAAGAAAAATGCCGAAACAAGGAACTAGATTTAACGGAGAAACAATAGATCGAAATCGACTGTAACCAGTCGCTACAACTTCTGCTTGTTACCTTCGAATCTCGACGTGCACGGATCCTTATCCAACCGATCGCAATAACCCGAGAGCAGCAGCGCGTCAATGTTCGTACGTGTATCGTCAATCTCTTTGGCAGGTAAGTCAGCCAGGCTAAGTGCGTTTCGGTTGCGTAATCGGCATTTGCAAAGACCGCGACGATATATCTTCGGTCCCATGCAACATTCATTAACATCGGTACACTCTCCCGGTATACTTAAACCCGTCGATACACCGTTACAAGTATACAATTTACATGCGATCGAATTTCACGTTCGCGATCGCACCGAGATGAGTCGACTTAAGTATCTTGATGATCCACTTGAGAACGTTCGTCGTTAGAGAGCCTGTTCAGTTTTGAAATTGACTTTTAACAGAGTAGGTTGTACACGGTGGAAAGTTGTTAATGTCCAAGGATATTTCGTTCGATGTGGTTACTTGTTCATTCGACGGTGTGAAATGGGAAAGATTGTGTTGTTTCTATACCTAATATTTTTTCCATTAATTAGAAGGTAATTTCTCTCGTCCTCGACAGCCAAAAAACGTGTCATAAAGAACAGCAGATTATTATTTGAAATTTGTGGAAAAACTATACCTAATATCATTTTGTCCACACAAACTTCAAATAATCACTTGAAATCACCTTCCAATTTTTCTCTCGCCAGGACAGGCTTTAATCCTTGAAAACATGCTAGCAATTAACTAAAGTTCTAATATCAAAAATATGTCATGAACCGCTACGTTTAACATCATAGAACCGTGAAATTTCATTTAACGAAAAATTGGTTTCCCCTCTTAGATTTCCCCCCAATTTAAGTTTATGTAAAATTCGTAGATACATTAAAACACAGCTTAAAAAGTTATGAAACTAAGAATAGCGTTATTTGCAGCGATTTTAATGGTGATATCCTTGCGAGGATGAGAGAGGAAGCATGATTCTGGACATTATGGCAGAAAGAGACCCTTAATTCTGGCTATGTACCTATTTTCGTTTGGTAGAGAAAACTATGAATCCCATTTAAACCTGAACCACTTTGGTTCCGCAATGGCGACTGAGAGGCTGCGTTAAATAATTATCACTTGGTAAATAATTAATCAAGACTCTATGAACAGCAAATCTATGAACTTCCATAAATTGTTCACTATATATTAGAGGTCCAAGCAGTGAAATATTGAAATAAAATAGTATAGTTTATTTCTACGTCAGTTCTAAAGAATTTCAAAAAGAAGATTCGACCTGCAACCTTTCCTACGGCAAAAAATCCTCCGAGTGGAAGGGGTTAAGAAGGTTTAAATTGGAAGGTATTGTAGCAGGATAATTTGAGTGACCACAGATATATTTTAGAATGATATATACCTAATAGAAATATTAATAGAGAAAATCCTCAAATTTGGTATTAATGATTACAAGAAGTGTAAATAGTGTGACTCCAACGATGTCACTAACGAGTCACCATGATGGCCTCTCCAAGGTCCAAAGGACCTAACCTTAAAATGGTACACCACGCTGCGGTGTCTAAGAAATAGGTAAAAGTTTGGGAATTTTTTTCATAGGTAACTACTAAATGAAAAGTTTACATTTTCTCAGAGAACATAAATGTCACTTTCAGCTTTATTCTCCAATTTTTAAAAAATAAAAATGTTACAAAATGGAGGAGTTATTGCAAGAACTCTTCTGCTAGAACATCGGATTGCTGGCCACCATCGCCGGCAAGGAATGAAACGTCTGAAATGAAAGATTCTTTAGATTTGTAAATAAAACTATATTATCTACAACGCAACTCCTAACTTTTTCAATATCTAAATTATTTAATTTTTTAGAAATGCTCGAAGTTGATTTTTTGGTAAAAAGAAGTTTGTCCTCTTGAAACTGTCACCATTTCTATACTAACTACAATTTATGAAAAATTCTAAGCTACGTTATAGATGATACATTAAAAAGAATTTCTCATTTCAGACAGTCTAACCTTTCCTAGCGATGATAATCAGAAATCGATGTTCTAGCAGAAGAACTTCCGCAATAACTCCTCCATTTTGAATTTTCTCGCTTTTCAAAAATAGGAGAAGAAAACTGAAGGTTACATTTATATCCTCTGAAAAAAATTGAAATTTTTCATTTAGTAATTACCTATGAAAAAAATTCCCAAAGCTTTACCTATTTTTAGGCTCCTGAAGGTGGCGTATCCCCTTAATAAAATACTTCCTATCTTCCGGAACTCGTTGAAAACGAAAATGTGTATCAATTCATCGCTTCATCACACGCTTATCGAAGTACGGAACATTTACAAACAGGTTCGAATCGTTGTCGACGACAATATCCGCCGATTCTCTGTCGCGTCCGTTGCATAATCGCAATTAATATTTGATCTAGATGTCGTAATCGAAGGCGCCTTCTCTTGTTTCAGGCTGCGGAGGGTTTTGTCTTCGTGGTGGGCTGTGATCGTGGAAGAATTCTCTATGTATCCGAGTCTGTTTTGCAGACACTCAATTATTCTCAGGTATGCAGTCCCTGCATGCTTCGAGACGCCGATAATAAAACACAAACAGTAAAATAAATTTTCACCGAGCGTTACGTTTAGAACAGAAACAGAGCACAGTAGTTAAATAAATCTGGTTCGTTAAACATAGAAAATGTGTATATCTAGTACTTATACACGTGGTAGCAATTTCACCAGCGAGATCAATCGAAGAATCCTTTCCTTTTTCTTCTCTCTTCTAAATTGCACTTTCTTGCGAAAATATCTTGTTCTAAAGTAGCTCGATATACACTACCGGCCAAAAGTTTGGCATCACCTCCCACTTTTCGTCAATATTAAATGTGCTGCTAATTTTTTATAGATTTCAAGTTTATCACAGCTCTACATTTATCAATTTATCCCGTATCAATTGATTCGAACGATAAAAAATTCTCAAAGTCGCTGACTTTTTTCTGGAAATTTTTATGTAAATTGCAATGCTCGGTGATTCGAAACTTTTGGCCGGTAGTGTGTATGTACAATTGATAAAATGTGAAGTGTAGAATGACACGAATGAATTTTATATGTTTGCACAGGGTGACCTGTTGGGTCAAAGTTGGTTCGATATCCTCCACCCGAAAGATGTTGCCAAGGTGAAGGAACAGTTGTCCTCTTCGGATCTTAGTCCACGCGAACGATTGATAGACGCAAAAAGTATGTATCGATATAATTTCATTCATGATTCTGCAAGTGGAAGTCTGAAAAATTTATCTAAAAGTTTCTTTTTTTAGAAATGGCCAAAGTGGTTAACTCCGTTTTTTGAATTTTTTTAAATTTTAGTGCCAATTGATTGCTACTTAGCTTTTTATATTTAAAATAATTTTCCTTAATAATTAGGCTTAACACCATTAAAATGACAAAAATTTGTATGGCCGTTGAATAAGAAATCATTTATTTCGAAAGCCAGTGTGATATTATATTAATTTTATTATTAATTTCTTTTTTCTCTACCTTTTGCTTCGTGGAGTTAACCGATTTAGCAAATGAGCGGCTCAAGTATTGACTAAAAAATGTTGATCAGCTTTTATCTTTTGCAATGGCGAATGAAATTCTCTTGGGTATTATTAGTTAATTAATCTTTCCAAGGTTTCCCTTAAACTTGTCCTTTCTCGTGTAAAACAATTTTTCTATATGGGTATCGTTAAATAGGTTTAATAAAATAGAAGTAAAACCGACGTATGCAATAAAAGGAAGAAATAATTTGCATCATTCCTCCACTAATGGCGCTGCTTTTAAATTCCATAAATTACGCGTAGCATTTAAGAGTGCAAAATTGCTTAAATTATTTTTACTTTTTATGGTACAGAAAGGCAAGGATTGTCAGATAGAATGATCTATGACAATCGGCTTATATGCTCGTTGAAGACGTAATTTAATAACCGTCTTATAATGGTATTATACTTGATCCTTTTATAATTTAATGATGGGTATAACAACTTAATCATACGCTGCTTTTATTCACTTCTTCTGGCTTAGGTAATATTTCAAATACATAGAACGATAGTATTCGTATACTTTCTAATAACTTTGCTGCTATTCGCAATCAAACATCGTTGTAAAATATTCGTTTTAAGGAAACATTTACGAAGTTGCAAATATCCAAATTGAAGTGTTTCAAGAGCATTCACGAAAGTATTAATTTCAATCGATTAGCATGAATTATTCTACGATAAGTAAATAAAAGAAAATAGAAAGCAATGAAATTATAATTACAATTGAACTTACGAAAGTAGAGGTGGTGTTGTACGGATTGTTTAAGGAAATCCGACGTGAGTGGGTTAGGGACACGTGAGTAATTTCAACAATGACGTTCAGTTATAAAAATTGATAATTATTTACGCACAAGACTCGCAATATTCACGTTCGACTCTCGCTATGGACTCGAAGTGGAGAAATATCGAATATTGTCGATATTTTTCGCCAGATAGAAGATTAAGAATTTAAAAAAATATATATCCACATGCTTATTCTTTTAAATAAAAATCAGTGGCTCCTTTTTTAAATTATATATTGCAAATTTCTTATAAAAAGAAAAGCGTCGCATGAACAACATTACGCCGCGAAATATCTCGACCAAAGGGTCGCATGAACGACTCTAAGTCGCGAGATATCTCGTCCATAGATGCGAAGGGGTTAAAAATGTCACAACTCCGGTAAATTCTTTCTTTCGAATAAAAGTGGTGGAAAACAAGGGTTGAGTCATGCTTTAGATTAGGTTGGCCGTTACAACTCTTCAAACGTCCCTCCGTCACTCTAAAAAATTCTAGCATACTCTGACTCGTAGTAAACATTCACACGAAACTTCCATTCCTACATGTAGGAACCTAGGGAAAAATATTGAGGGACCCAACGGAAGAATCGAACCCGAGACCTTCCTTAGCAAGCCGAAGCTTTGCACACTACGCTAACCACTCCTTCTCTATTCTCCCTTGTCGGTTTCCTGTTTGGGTATGGAGGCCCCGATACTACACTCGGCCATCCTCTGAACTGACATTCACTCTCGAATATCCTCAGTGCAACACAACTCAACACTTTCGGGCACACTCCCCCCACACAGTGGCACACAGCCCGAAACAACGCATTTTTGGGAGACGTGCACAACCCTCGACATGTTTTCACATCGCACAACCCCTCCTGGCTTCGTGTATAGATGCCTCCATCCCGGACGAGCTCGCATTTGTAGGAACATAGGAAAAAATATTGAGGGACCCAATGGGAATCGAATCCGGGACCTTCGGCTTACCAGCCGAGGCTTTGCGCGCTACGCCAACCACTCCCTCTCTATTCTCCCGTGCCTGTTTCCTATTTTTTGGGTATGGAGGCCCCCGATACTACACACTCGGCCATCCTGAACTGACATTCACCCTCGAATATCCTCAGTGCAACATAACTCAACACTCTCGGGTACACTCCCCCACACAGTGGCACTCTCAGCCGAAACTCTGTTCCTCAACTCTTTTTGGGAGACGTGCAAACCCTCTCACATGTTTTCATCTCACAGCGCCTGGCTCGTGCAGCCGTAGATGCCTCCATCCCGGACGAGCCCCCATTTGTAGGAACCTAAGGAAAAATATTGAGGGACCCAACGGGAATCGAACCCGGGACCTTCGGCTTAGCAAGCCGAAGCTTTGCGCGCTACGCTAACCACTCCTTCTCTATTCTCCCTTGTCGGTTTCCTATTTGGAGGCCCCGATACTACATACTTACAGTATTTTAACACGTTGACTGCCACGCCAAATTTGCATATTGCTCTCAAAGGGCCACAAGAATATTTTCATTATTCTAAGCATAGTATTATATTATGCTTTATCTTTTTTTTTTAATTCAAAATAATGTCTATTTAATTAGCTACGACGTTCGAAATTTGTAGTCGACGACATTCATTTCATTTTAATTACTCCAAACATTTGAGGTCCTCCGGTCATCGATGACCACCATCGAGGAAACAATCTCGGGTCACAGATGACCAACGTGTCAGTGAACGTGTTAAAAATATCACAGCTCCGGTAAAATCGTTTCCATCATTCACCCGCTTCTCTCACGTATGAATTCATTAGACACTTATGACACCTTTCGACATTCCCTCGGCTGGCTGCATAGCCGTTAAACACTCGCTGCTCGTCGATGAGGTTTATGTCCTGATAAATGTCAGTGGTTCGGCAGCATCTGCCTGTCGATAAACATCTTCGAATTAGCGCCGCGAGATAAGAGGCTTACGAAAGAGACTCGTCTAAAGGAGGAAAGCAGGACTGGTTACGAGCGACAGGATCCCGGCGAGGATGTTACGAAGCGGTACGATTTAGACGCGGAGGACCTTGAGGTAAGGTCCCACGGTCGTTAATCATCGACATTTGTTGCGGTGGAATTAATAAACCCCGGAGAGATCCAGTCGGAAAACGTTCAGGATCGCGAGCTCTCTCTCTCTCTCTCTGACACCTCTGATGGCTAATTGATCAAATGTCGAAACGTTTTTGTAATGGTAACGGCGACAAGAATAGCGGTAATTGCGAGATTTGTATTCGAGAGACGCGTACGAGTAGCCAGCTATTTAGTTTCGTTTGATGGATTTTCGTATAGAGTAATTGGTCGAGAAGTTACGTGTGTCTTCGTTTTGCAATATGTACTCCGGCTTGAAACGATTTCTGGGATTATCGATGAGTTATGGTAACAGCAAGTGATTTGCGTCGAGAGATGTGTAGGTACTAGGAGAAGTATCGATGTGGTTTCTTGTTTTTTTTTGGGGGGGGGGATATTTCTGGAATTGAACGTTTCAGCATTTTTGTTTTAGGATTTTCCGACGTTTGGCTCTGATTATGTGTGAATAGAACATTTTGGAATTCTGGTAGAACCTTGGATACTGTTAAATCCTTAAAGAAACTGATTTGTGAAATAATGAATTGGTAATGAAATTGAGCAAAATGTATCCATCTTCAGGGTGGGCCACGTAAAACAGGTCACCTAATTATCTTCTCTAGCTATGGTATCACGAAAAATATTTTACACGTAATTTAAATGGTTTCAAATTGTGAATAAGATGGGAGAAAAATTTGTTTGTAAATGCTATCTCTTTCTGTTTTCTTCCAGGTTTTTTTGTATGTGCATTTAAACATGCATAATAATACTACCTTAAAATGACCTTAGACCCTAAAATTTCAAATCAAACATGAAACTCTCTTTCATTTTTGCTATTTCTTCCGTCAAAAAAATTTGTCTTCCATCGTATTCACCCTTTGAAACCCTTTAAATTGCTTATAAAAATTTTCTTTCATAATTGCAGAGAAGACAATTAGGTGGCCTGCTTTACGTCGTCCACTCTGTATATATTTACAATGTTAAATTACAAACTTGACCAAAAATTCATATTTTTTATACCTGTAACGTTGATTTCTTTATTGGTAATATTTGAGATCAAACGAATTCACGATTTATCCTTTTTATATTTTAATATATCGAATAATTATTGGCTGAAAAATTCCATCACATTGTTAAGCGTTTCGATGTTTCAAAATTATTGAAACATAGCCAAGTTGCAATGGTTAGCAGAAATACGGAAGAATGTGATTGATAACGTAATCAATAACAGAGAATAAAATAAAATTAATAGGAAATAATATCGAGGTTGTAAATAGAAGACAAATCGGAGCTAGTTGTCATTTTTAAACTGCGAAGAGGACTAGTTGCATGCTTCCATGTTACAATGCGCCAAGATTAATTGCATAACTGTGATACACGTTGTGTATTACGGAAAGTGATAAATACGGCTTGACTAAAGAAGAGATTGCATATATGCCCATTAGTGCGCCCACAGCTCGCGTTAACGTCTCGTCAATGTTCTCAGTTCACTTTCTTTTTACTTCGTTGTAACAGAACAATATAGATGTTTGGACAGCTATAAAGCTTGTACGACTGTGAATATGACACGTTGCAACTTCTTTGTACTATCTTAGACAATCGCAATTCTTCTTAATTTCTTCATTTACATACGTAGTTTTAAACATTGGCCAAAATGGAATTGTAACGTGTGGTCATTTTTGTAATGACCATTTTGTAATTTTTGAAATTGGACAGAAGTCGATTTGTCAAATTGTAAAATTGGCATGGTTAGGGAATTGTGAACTATTTAGGGGTGTTTTGAAGTTCGAGGGAAAATCGTAATAAAAGTACCTTCAAACTGACTGAGAATATAGCACACCAGAAAATTTTGATAAATAATGAAAGTTTTAATGAATAAACCAAATTTTAATAAATAATTGATAAAATATTTAATAGATAATG